CCCTTCCTCTTCCCACCCTTTACTCCCCTTGGTGGTTAAAGCAGCCGGAGCTGTTATCCCGCAATGTGAAATCTCACGTGCTCTTCAAGGATGCTGACATTTATTTAATTAATTTTCCTCCCCAACTTACACAGTGGGCCTGTATTCAGAAAGCGCGCATGAATAATGCAGATTTTAAAACCGCATTATTACAAAGGATGTCAAGTTCACACACTGTCAACACTAATAAACTCCCCAAAGTGCTAAAATCCAGGACACCCGTCCGTCCGTCCGTCCCCCCCCCGGCCCCCGCGCCCCGGCGAGGATGCAGCACCCGCTGGAACTGGGGGCCGCGCACTATTTCCCGGCCGAAGCCTTCCCCGACCACCGCTCGCACCGCTACCGGAGCTTCATGATCGAGGAGATCCTCACCGACCCCCCGGACGCCAAGGGGGCCGCGCCGGCGGGGGAGCTGCTCAAATTCGGGGTGCAGGCGCTGCTCTCCGCCCGTCCCTACCACAACCACCTCGGTACGTCCTCGGGGGTGGGGAGGGGACGGGGAGGGGGGCACCGGGAGAGCCCCCGACGCCGGAGGGGTCCCGCCGCTCGGGGGAGAGCGGGGGGCGGCGAGACGAGGAGGCATTTCCCGCTGATCCATCCGAGAGCGTTTTAGAGCCTTTGGAAGAAAACCTCATGGTTTTTCCCTTAAAAATAATAATAGTAATAATAAAATAGGGCTTTGCCGGCCGTGCGCGTCCCCTCGCCGTGCCGCCGGAGGCTCCCAGCCTGGAGCCTGGCGAATATTTTGGGGCCTAAACCGAAGAAAGCGGCTTTACGGCTCCGTCGCCGCTTGCACAAAACGGCCATTGAATTTTCCCGGGGAGACCGTTGTCGTTGATGTTGGGTTTTTTTTTTTTCGTGGTTTTTTGGATGAGGTGTGAATTGGCGGAGCCCACGCAGCGGGGTGTATATCTGTATGGCTGCGAGAGGCGGCACGGTGCCCTGCGGACACGGGTTTAGCTGGAATCCCCATAGTTATATATAATATATATATTATTTCTTACATATATATAAAATATTTTAAATATATATTGATTTAAAGAGGGAACCAGCGTGCTCTATCCAGACTGATATAGTACCTAGGACAAATGCAGCGTATTAACGACTTTTTTCTTTGAAAAAAAAAAAAAAGCTAACACTTAATATATTTTAAACGCCAGTATTTAATGTAAGATTGCGAAAGCTTTCACTTCGCAAGCCATCTTAGTCTGCGGAGACGTCGCTCTTTGTCCGTGGAAACGAGCGGAATAGGACGATCCGAATTTCTTGTTTTCTATTTAAAAGAGAAAGAGGAAAGTGTCAGGCCCCACGGCAGGGGAACGGCGTAGATTAGAATATCAGGGAATCAATATTCTTTTCAAGATGGGCAGAACTATTTGAAATACTGGGGCAGACAAAAGGCTGTTTACAGGCGGGTTCAGCGGGAGCGGGATCGGGCCCCGCAGGGAAGGGTGATGTGTATTTGCTTCAACGCCACGATTTCTGCCCAGGCCGCGGCGGCGGAGCCGGCAGAGCCTCCTCCCCGAGCCCCTGTCGCCACCGGCCCCGCCGCCGGGTGTGCCGACGGGGCGGGCAGGCAGGGCCGGAGCCCCTCTCCACCGGGCGCCCGGAATTTGGGACGGACAGTGGGTTCCCCGGGAGAACCGAGCCGGGTCGGGTCGGGCAGCGGCCCCAGCACGCCGGGGAGCGGAGCGGCCGCGGCTGGGGCCGAGAGCCCGGGGGTGTCCGCAGCAGCATCCTCGGGGACGGGCTCGGAAATTCTCCCTGTCCTGTCCCCGAGCGCGTCTTCCTAGGAAAATCGTGGGGATATAAATCGTTCCCCGGTCGAAAATGTCCCGAAAACTGCTCGGGAGGGAAAGCCGGGGCCGTGCCCGGATCCCCGCCGCCCGCCGGGGCTCGGCCGGCTGCAGCGGGCCCGGCGGCTGCTGGGGATACTGGAAGGGAAGGCTTTTCGATTGATTTAAGCTATTTTCGTTCATAACCCCTCAAGTCATTCCGTAATTAGCAACTGCCGGTTGAAGGGTAAAACATGACCCTGTACCGCGGAGGCGGCGGAGCCGGGGGGACCGTCCCGGTATCCCCGCATCCCGGGAGTCCCGGGGGGGCTCCGCTCCTTTCTCATTGCCGAGAAAGGAGGAGAAGGGCCCGGGGGCTCCTGGCAGGGTCCGAGCCCCGGGGGGAAGCGAGGCACCCTGCAGCCCCGGGGGTCCCCGGGGGCCGGGCCGGGGGTTGCCCGGCGCTGACGGCCCCCTCTCTCCCGCAGCGGTGCTGAAGGCGGAGCCGGCCGCCGTGTTCAAGTTCCCGCTGGCTCCCCTGGGCTGCTCGGGGCTGGGCTCGGCGCTGCTGGCCGCCGGCTCGGGGCTACAGGGCGGCTCCGCGTCGCCCCATCTCCCGCTGGAGCTGCATCTCCGCGGCAAGCTGGACCCCGGCCCCCCGGAGCCGGGCGGCAAGGCCAAGAAGGGGCGTCGGAGCCGCACCGTCTTCACCGAGCTGCAGCTCATGGGGCTGGAGAAGCGCTTCGAGAAGCAGAAATACCTCTCCACGCCCGACAGGTAGGAGATGCGGGACCCTCCGGAGATGGGGTACGACGGGACCGGGGTGGGATGCGATGGGACCGGACGGTGGAACGGGATAGGATGGATTGGGATGGGGGCTCGTTTTTCCTGAAAAGGAAGGAAAACTGCCGGCCAAGGCGAAAGCCGCCCGGCCTCACCTCCATCTCTCCCTCTCTCTCTTCCGCAGAATAGACCTGGCCGAATCGCTGGGGCTTAGCCAGCTCCAGGTGAAAACCTGGTACCAGAACAGGCGCATGAAATGGAAAAAAATAGTAAGTGCCCGAAGCCGCCCCTTCTGCGCGCCGCACCGCGCCCGGTCCGCGCCCCGCCGGGGTACCGAGGGCTGCCCCGCGGGCTCGTCCTTCTGCAGGCCGGCCTTGGCCAAAAAAAAAAGGAAAAAAAAATACAATTAAAAAAAATAATGTATATATATGCCCCCTGTCTTTGAGGCCAGCATCGCCTGGTTCCCACCGGCCGCCCCTGATCCGAGCCCGCCCGGTTTTGCAGCTCGTTCCGCGGGTGCGGGGGGCGGTGTCGGAAGGAGCCGCACTGGGGGTCCGGGGCAGAGGGGGGGGTTCTCCCGCCGCGGGCTGATGGCAGCAGGGTTTGACTGGGGTCTTCTGCTCCCTCCCCGCCTCGCAGGTGTTGCAGGGGGGCGGCCTGGAGTCCCCCACCAAGCCCAAGGGCCGCCCCAAGAAGAACTCCATCCCCAGCAGCGAGCAGCTCTCGGAGCAGGAGCGGGCCCGGGAGGCCGAGAAGCCGCCCGAGGGCGTGGGCTCGCCGGCCGAGGTCAGCCAGGAGGAGTGAGGGTGACCGCCCGGCCCCACCGCCGCCCGCCCCGGCCGCCCCCCCGGGG